GATAACCGATATATTGGGCGATAAATCTAAATCCAATTTTTATATAATTTACGTAAAAAAATGGCTTTTTTTCTTCTCTTTTAAGTTCGGTGTTAAAAGTAGACAGTGTCTAAGTAAACCAGGGCTACATTTATTATTTTGAACACACCCCAAGTAAACCCAACTAAGCAACCCAACTAAAAAAAACTTCAATGCCGAACAGAAGAGTTCAACATACACTCACCGGCCACTTTATTAGGTACCCCATGCTAGTAACGGGTTGGACCCCCTTTTGCCTTCAGAACTGCCTCAATTCTTCGTGGCATAGATTCAACAAGGTGCTGGAAGCATTCCTCAGGGAGTTTGGTCCATATTGACATGATGGCATCACACAGTTGCCGCAGATTTGTCGGCTGCACATCCATGATGCGAATCTCCCGTTCCACCACATCCCAAAGATGCTCTATTGGGTTGAGATCTGGTGACTGTGGAGGCCATTTTAGTACAGTGAACTCATTGTCATGTTCAAGAAACCAATTTGAAATGATTAGAGCTTTGTGACATGGTGGAAGTAGCCATCAGAGGATGGGTACATGGTGGCCATAAAGGGATGGACATGGTCAGAAACAATGCTCAGGTAGGCCGTGGCATTTAAACGATGCCCAATTGGCACTAAGGGGCCTAAAGTGTGCCAGGAAAACATCCCCCACACCATTACACCACCACCACCAGCCTGCACAGTGGTAACAAGGCATGATGGTTCCATGTTCTCATTCTGTTTACGCCAAATTCTGACTCTAACATCTGAATGTCTCAACAGAAATCGAGACTCATCAGACCAGGCAACATTTTTCCAGTCTTCAACTGTTCAATTTTGGTGAGCTCTTGCAAATTGTAGCCTCTTTTTCCTATTTGTAGTGGAGATGAGTGGTACCCGGTGGAGTCTTCTGCTGTTGTAGCCCATCCGCCTCAAGGTTGTGCGTGTTGTGGCTTCACAAATGCTTTGCTGCATACCTCGGTTGTAACGAGTGGTTATTTCAGTCACTGTTGCCCTTCTATCAGCTCGAACCAGTCTGGCCATTCTCCACTGACCTCTGGCATCAACAAGGCATTTCCGCCCACAGAACTGCCGCTCACTGGATGTTTTTTCTTTTTCGGACCATTCTCTGTAAACCCTAGAGATGGTTGTGCGTGAAAATCCCAGTAGATTAGCAGTTTCTGAAATACTCAGACCAGCCCTTTTGGCACCAACAATCATGCCACGTTCAAAGTCACTCAAATCAACTTTCTTCCCCATACTGATGCTCGGTTTGAACTGCAGGAGATTGTCTTGACCATGTCTACATGCCTAAATGCACTGAGTTGCCGCCATGTGATTGGCTGCTTAGAAATTAAGTGTTAACGAGCAGTTGGACAGGTGTACCTAATAAAGTGGCCGGTGAGTGTATATTATACTTACTTTACAAAAGTGGTCCATTTCATGGCATTAAGCTTGCAATAGCTAAATATCGGCATGATTGAATGATAAAAATTAGGAAAAGAAAATGTGCAAAATTATGCTTTCATTGTTTGGTTATAGGAAACATCCCTTCAGACAATGTTTTTGGATACTGGCTGTGCAACAATATAATTCAGACACGTCTAAGCAGTGACTGATGGGAAAAGCAGATTAATCGGCCGATAACTGATCATTTTATGATTATTTGTACTGGTGGATAATGGTGTCCGTTGGAGAACAGGGTTCATAGTTCCCATTGTGTCCGTTCCAAAATATACAGACAGTCTCGCCAATGAATAAACAGTTTTGGTTTTCATCTTTTTGTTAATGTGAATTGAGTAAATGGTGTAAAATAAGCATTTATTTCTTGTTCACAGTTCTATGTAATTCACATTTGCTGCCATTTATATATTTTTTGTATTTTATATTTTTATATATATCAAATAACATGTGTATTAAATATAAAATATATTTATTTTGGGATATACTTTTAATGATTTGATATACTATGAGTCTATGAGATACTAAGGGCTAATGGAACAACAGCTTTAAAAAGCGATTTTCACTATTATTTACGACAGGATCTGCATTTTCATGGGATTAAATAAAAGATGTTTGTATTATATGATAATATTTAATGTGTATCAGTATTGGGCTTGTCGGTTGACCACTGCGACTAGAAATCTATAATCTGTATAATTTTTTACACATTTCAGGTTACTCATTTTGTTGTTGAAGTTTAATATCTTTTCCATATAGGTGGCCATAGTGTGTTTTAATCTTTAGTCAGTCCTCTGTTTGTAGTCTGTGACATTTTGAGCTGAATTTCCATGAGCGACTAGAATGTTTTTTTTCTTCTTTAGAATCAGACAAGTGTATTTTAATGCATTGTCAATGCTGAATACTTCCTTTGTCGTCGTTCTTCTTCTGCGTGAGTGCTGATGTCTGTAGTATCTGGATGCGAGGCCTGCGTCAGACACACAGGTAACCGGGTTCATGTGTGTGGATATGGAGCTGTTCTGTGTGCGCTGGCTGGTGAGATATGAGGGGATGACAGAATGACAGACCGGGGTGAACAGAGGGGCAAGACTCAGCGGGATGCCGCCCAATGCTTTTCTTTTCGTCTTGCGTACCTCCACCGCCTCAACATACCGCTTCATTGACAACAAACTAGTTTGATTTACTTTTAAACTGAAAACAATCGATAATGTAGTTGAAAAACAATCTCCTCTCAGCTCTCCAATAAATGACACTCCAGAGCTTGTGCGTCTCATCGCAAGATTTTGCGGTTCTTGCGCCAATCGTGGAGAAACTTCTTAACGGCAGATTTATTTATAAATGAAATCCAGATGGGGCGTTTAACAAAAGTTAAATAATTAGCTGTTTTTGCAATGGTCGAATTGAAATATCATTGAAGCTCGGTATGAAATATCACCCATGAGCTGGTCTTTTGTGTTTTTTTTTTTTTTCCTCTAAAGAAGAAGCTGAATGTTTTAGGCATTAACTACAAAAACAATCACAGGAATGCAATTATTATATTAACGCAATGTCAAAAGATTAAAATAGAGCTCTTTTTAGATTCGTTTAACAAAGCAGAGAGTCGTTTTAGTTACCTGAGAGGAGAGATGATATGATTTTTAGTTTGCCGAGCAGGTTTTGGAAGGTGTAGAAGGTGATATGCGAGTCAAAACTCTCAAGACCAAGACAAAATTTGTCCGAACTTCCTCTCACCCTTTTTTTGGCGCTGTCAGGGGTGGACGCTGCCAGGACCGCTGCCAAAAGCTTTACCTGCGAATCCCATCTGCGCCACCACACGCAACAGCTGTCTGTCTGACAGGCCTCACTTTCTGTGCCGTCCACCTCGGCTCTGTCGTCTGTTTCACCGCACACTTCCTTCTGTCCTCTGACACACAAGATCCAACCAACACCAGGAACAGCGGCGTAGCGACTGTTATAATGACTTTGCATTTTTTTAACGGTATTGATTTAGACGTTTGTTTGTTTTTAGCATCATTATTTGGCGCAATCCAAATAAATAAGTTATCCAGGTAAAACGCCTACTTAATGACCACGCAGTGAAATAAACGAACACTGATCCTACTTACCTATTTACCAACTTCTGCCTTTAAGCAAATCAGCATGATAGAATGTGATAAATATTCATGATCCTTTAAGGTTTATATTGTGCTGCTTCTTTGTTCTTAAAGACCAACAGTGACTATAGACTAGGAGTTCTCAACTAATTAAATGTTGATTGTTAATATATACACACATGCATGATTGTTAAAAATATATACACATATATACACATATGCATATACATGTGAATGCATGCATGTATTAGGGGGTATTGGGAGTACAAGACAAAACAAGCATTTTAAAATAGGCCAAAACCACACAAAAATCAAGATATGTCATTTTAAAGTGTGATTTCTAGACCTGGAAAAGTCATGTACATTTTTCTTAAGAATTAAGAACTGATAATAATAATAGTAAAATGAATATAGCACTTTTCTAGCTCTAATTTTATCTGATAGAAATTGAGTAAAAAATATTTTTTACAAATATTTATGCTTAAATCGTGAAAACCTGGAAATATCATAGGGCCTTTGAATATTGTTGTGGACAATAGAGAACCTGAGAACCCCTGCTATAGATCATAAACAACTGTTCTTGCCAGTCATAGTTGCCAATACCGTAAAAATCTGAAGTATCATGCCTTTGAGTTTGTGAAATATAAGACAATATGAGTGACTCTATATGTGTTTGTATTTCTTAACCTTAGGAAGAATAAACTACGTTCAGATTAAAACCAGAAAGAGAATGTGAAATTAAATATATTTAGGCTTCGAGGACGCGTGATGAGAGATGATCTACAGAGATGATAAAATGAAAGTGTTGATCTTTATCTGGAGGGACTCTGTTTGTATAGCTGCATTGAGGTGTTGGTCTTAATTACAGAACTGCTTGATGGCAAAGATATTCAAACATCTTCGTGAATCGTGCTAGAAAGAAATGCAGGTGGTTTTCACTCCGTTTGTTCATTCAGTAATTTTTAATTTAAACAATGAAGAATATATGTAATTTCCCATATTAGACATACAGTATATACTGCATTTATTGACTGCATTGTGTTTTCATAGCCAGGCTAAGTGTCTTTCGTGATTTTGTCAGAATTATCGTGCCACATATCAGTTTGCATCCATTCATATGAGCACAATCTGAGAATCCTCTTAGATTTTTAATATAGCAGGATGTTCTGTAAATGTTTTGCTTTGCAAAGCTGGGCTCCGTACGCTTCTTCTCTGTGATCGTTTGCAACCTTGTGTATGCTGTCCTCTTCTTTGGATAGTCTTTGGCGAATAGCTTTACCTCAACTCCCTGTGGTCAAAGATAAACATTTGGTGTAGCTTGGTGTGTAAAAGCATGGAAAAGATGGAAGTGGATGAAGTCTGTAGCGGGATGTTCAGCTCTTGCGTAATCAAGTTGCTGCAGTCTGGTCTTTGTCCAGTTATGGTTTTTTTTTGTTTTTCTCCAATAAATGCTCCAGTCCAAAGGCGATTTACAAATAATTAAATATGAATTGATATTTGCATATATACACCATAACATTGCATTTGCAGTCAACAGTTTTTGTACACTGGTGATGCTAATGTTTTGTAAATCCATTCATGTCGTGGCTTAACTCCTCAGGGCTGATTTTCTCTCTCTGTCTTTGCTCTGCAATGAAAGAAAACAATCCATTAGTTACAGGAAATGTCAGGTGCAACTACTTTTTTGTTGTCATTTGTTAATTTCATTTGGGGCATTCATTTATCTAAAAATGTGCAAATACTTAAATTTTTTTTTTCATTTTTTCAGAGTCGTTGACTCTTGAGGGTTCATGTCATCGTTCTCCCTGCAGGCCGTTGGTTTGGCATTAATGCGCCTGCTGTTTTTCTCCTATCACCTTTCCGTTTGCGGTAGCACGCGCACACACACCTGGCTCACATTTCCCAGTTTGCTTTGCTTAGAACAGGAGCAGATGGAATGCCATCGTTCCTGCGGCCCCATCTGATGTAGGCGGAGTTTCTAGTCAAAACACTCAACCTTAACTGATGAAGTCAGACAGAATCCCATTTGAAAATAACCCTGACCCTCAACGTTTTCCTTTCTTTCTTTCCTTCCTTTCTCTTTTTTTCTCGCTCCCATTTTTTTCCCCAGCCCCTCCTTTAAGTTCAGTGCCACTTTAAAGTCACCAGCGCTCTGACTCCAGGGATCACTTATGGCCAAACTAATAGGATTTTGCCTACATTTGCTTTTCATATCCTGTCTAACACGCCGTAAAGAAATTATTATTGCTGGAGCTTACGTCCAAATGCCCAGATTGATCGTTCGCTCCCCTTGGTCTGAAGTCCTTTATAAACACATTATTTCCAAGTACTTTGAGGCAGGAAACAAATCACGGCAAATTCTCAAATATCTTTATATCAATAAATTGGTGTTCACCTCTTTTTTTTCCCCCCTTCAAGCATCTACGGGGCTCTTAACACAAATATTTGGCTTCACCTTAGGTTGACGGGTAACGTTGACAGCTTGCTAAAGATCACAATGAGACGGTGTGTGTGCATGCATGTGTTTAGACGTGTAACTCTAGCCTCTCGGTGGTGACAGGACCTGGTAGATTATTAAAACAAGTCTTCTGTTTGAGTTAATCCCAATATATATGAGTTTTGCACCCTTTGAATGCGCCATTTACACGCCTTTGATTGTTTTTATAGTGTTCCGGAGTATTTGCACAGACCTTTTTGCTGCTGCCCACAAACGAAAACACTAGTTTCCCTTCGTTTATGGTTATGAAGCGTACCGCCCCACCTGTGGTAAAGGATGACCCAATTCCAGCCCAACTTTAATTCATGTGGCTTCACTTTCCAGAAGGTATTGAAGTATTCGCATTTGGCGGTTTTATAAGATCCCGCTTTTGGCCAAATCTTTCAGGATTCTTTCGAATAAAACGGCATTTTACAGAGGAAAAAATGTTGGCTCTTTACCGTGTGCTGCTAATACTTCTAATAATTTCATATTGTGTCAAATGTTCGGGCTCCCGTTAGAGTGAAGGACTCTAAACTCTTCCATATGCTCGTAATGAGAGAAGTCTTGATGGTTATCCAGAAAATACTACCCATTTTACTTCTTATTTGGTTACCATCTCAGCAGACACCATAACTGTGAGGAAGACGTCCCATCTGCCCCAATTTTCTGAGTAGTAGTACAGTCTTGTTATGCAATCTATTCACACTAGGGTGGTTTAGCCTAATGGGCTAGGTGATGTCAAAACAATACAAAAATGCTTGATTTCTCACTCTGTCATATTTGTGGTACAGCCCTGTGCATGTAGAGATAGTGCGTGAAGCAGTGTGCATGTGCAAATATTGAGATGTAGTCCAAAATGAAAATAAATGCAGATAAAAATGCCAGATGAATCAAAACCTGGAAAATGTTTTGGGTAAAATCTATCATTTTTATATAGACACAAATCTGTTTGAGTCTTGAGCGTCTTAGCAGACAAAAGTAGCAGTTTTCTGCCGCACGACTGTCTGTGTTTGATTTAAAAGTCTGTTTCGCCCGTTCGCTGGAGAATCTCGACGCAGCTGTCTGTTCTGTGTCAGCTTACAGACGCTTAACTTTGGCGAAAACCCGAACATTTGAATTCAGTTATACCTCTACGTCTTTCCCCTGGTGTGTGTGTGTTCTTTATTTCGTCTTTCTCTTTCTTTAGAAACAATAAAGCCGTGCATTTTGGCTGAGTTATACTTTCACAGCGTAATGAGCACTAAGTAGGGGTAAAAGAGACGAGTGTGGTTTTGGAGCACACAGACCCACTTCTGAAAGTGCACTACAAAGGCAAGGCCCGGTCTGTTTCAAATATCTGCCTGCCACTGGAATCCCGAAGACATGGGCGTACTTCTCGGTTGGACTTATAAAGATCTATCATTTCGTTTTGTACGGATTAAGGTTACTGCCTGAAATGGGAGTGTTGGCCTTTGGCCTGTTGTTGTTCATAACCGTGTGGTTTCTAAACGATTTTCAACAACAGTTTAACCATAAACAGTTTAGCAAATAAAAGGAACTGCTATGTTGTGTGCATTTTGTTAGTCTCTTTTATATACTGTGTGGTTTGTACAATATCAAACATTTAAGAATTAGATTTGGATACCTAAAGATGCTCATTGAGTTGCTAATTTGTGGTTAACTGTTTTCTAGAGAGCAACAGTGGCCGATGTCCAATATATAGCCAATATTTAGCCAATGACTACATGAATTGGACACACAAGCTTGTTTGAGTTGATACTTTGTTGCAGAAAATGATTAAATAGCAGCCGATTAAATCCATTTCTGGCGAATATAGATTAGTCTATGAGAACTGCTAATCAGTTTTTAGGGATTCACAGGCACTTTCTTCTTCACTTTCTTGTTCTAAATCTTAAATCCATCTAAATCTTCACATTTTAATGACCGTAAGCTCAAATTGATGTTGCATTTGAGACATTGGAATTGGCTCTCTCAACTGCAGGCCTATGTGCAAAGACCACTGTGTTACTTTCAGAAATCTGTCATAATCCTTCTCCGAAAGATTTACGATGTTGCAAGCAGGTTGCGTGTCGTGCTTGACAGAAATATTAATTGGGCAACAAGGAAGAGACTAAGAACAACACAGGATGTTTGAGTGAAACTCTGAGGTTGGTGCACGGTTACTTGGGGGGAAAATACCCCGCTGCAGATGTTCCCTAGATTCTCATGGCCTGATATATAGATCACGGACCATTTACATTTGCATATTTATGCCTCCCATTTGCTCATTTGTCATAAATGGCCCAAACTAGGTTCGTTGTAATTCCCCCGTGCGGTGCCGAGTATCCACTGTGGAATAGATTGCTGCTATTGTTGCTATTCTTTTATTGTTTATTTCCTTCGCTACAGACTTTACTTTAAAAGATCCAGAAAAAGAAAATTTAACTCAATGGCTTCTGGAAGCACTTCAGGTTTTTGAGGATTAAACACACGTTGCGGTGGTGAGATACCCTGACCAAAAATGCTCTTGTGTCATGGCGGAGTGTAATTGTCTTGAGCGTGTGTTATATTTCAACCTCTGACAGTTCTTCGCCATGCAAGTTTAAATTACAGTTTTCCCCCTGTTTTTGGTTTGGTGTCATTGTATTCCTCACAGCCAGAGTGTGATTTACGGTTTTATTTTTAATGTGCTGCGGTGTTGGCTCAACGAGCCAAGGTCAGTGCAGTCACGCTCGCCGGGGGAAGAGATGGATGATGTGTTTGTATATTACCTGACAGTCTCTTTGTTGATTGGATATTTTCCATTGGGGTACATTTAATCCGATCTTTCACTGCATATGTCTATGAGGTCATGGTAGCAGCGCACTCTGTAACAGAGATATCGCTCTTGATGGAAAAGGACATGTGGATGAAGTCATAACTCAGCTTCAGAGTGCTGAGGATGGTTTTCAGTGTCAAACGTTATCTTGGGGTGGCTGGAATTACGACGCAGATTCACTAAAAGATGTAGTTGGCTGTTGTAGGAACATTTATGACAGACTGTTTAAAACCACTAGTTGCTCATGCTTCGGAAAACATGTACCAAATTATACCTTATCAGCTTTCTGTAGTCTTAGTTTTTGCAGTGCCAGTTTTAGAAGTAAGGAGTATAGTTTGTGTATTTTAACTGCTTTGTTTTGGTTAGCTAGATTTACAGAAATACTTTACAGAAAAGAAACAAACCCTTGCATCTACTTGTTTGAAAGGTATTCTAAAAAAACATTTTTACTGGGCTTTCAAAGGTTTATTTACTTTCACTCTTGTTAGTTAAACAGCCTTTATTCTCTAACATTGGACATTAAGGATTTACTTTGATAGTGTTTACTGTATCTCAACTGTATCCTGACTAACCTTGCCTCAAGTCATCGATCTCAGTGACCTTACTAGCAAAGAATAAATCAGACCCCTTCTTGTCCCTCCCTGAGGTTCAGCTGTATTTCACACCTCTGTCAGTTTTTCTTCAGCTTGTTTGTGGACTTGAACATGTCCAGATCATTGCACAACCGTAACGGAGAACACCTGCATGCGTCTTACTCACCACTTTCCTCTGGTTGCTGAGGCAAAACGTGCAGATCTGTTTGGGCTGCGAGTTCTCCGAGTCCCGGCTGGGTGAGCCGTGGTGGTGGTGGTAGTAGTTTGAGGTCGAGGGCCCTCCGCTGTGGCACGGCTGGCCGTCTCCGCATGCTTCACCCACCAGGAGAACGTTCCCAAGGTGAGATATGTAACTGGATGCCAACCGTAAGGTCTCGATCTTTGATAGCTTCCGGTCGGCGGGCTCTGTGGGGATGAGAGTCCTCAATGCGGTGAAGGCCGTATTGACGCTATTGGTGCGGTCCCGCTCCCGTGCGTTGGCTGCGTTGCGTTGACGGCCCTCGGGCAACGGACCTATAAAGCTGGCGGAAATGGGTGGTGGCCCAATCATCCGTCCGCCTCCACTTACTCCAGGTTTTCTCTTTTTTCCAACTTTAACGTCGTACCCCGAGGCGTCCAAGCGAAACGAGCGGTCGTCTGAGCCTGAGCTCTCGCTTCCGTTTTCATCGTCCTCCGACATCATTGAGATCTCCGAGTACAGGTATCGGCTGGGAGCCTGTCGCACCATCGTGAAAGACATTGTCAGCAGGTGCTGAAATTTCCAAACCTCTCCACACTAATCTCGACTGTTTCTTGTAAGACTCTAGAGTTCGTAATGCATGGGGGTTTTAGCTTTGGAACCAATCCTGCACTTGTTTGCTCTCCGGATAGTCCTCTGGCACAGTTGCGCTCTAGTATTACATTGCTCTGCCACTACAGACCCTTTGAATTTAGTTTTTCTTGACAGTCAGACTTTGAGAATTGATCCTGAAGGGTTGAACTTGTTGTTTGTACTCACTCACATCCCATAAGCGCTTCTCTACTTGAGCTGAAATCACCGCTTTGCTTCCTCAAACACACATGCACACTCCTTCTCCGGCTCTCTGTCCCTGTGCAGCGCTGGCTCTCCCCCCTGAACAGAGACCCACGTGTGCTTTCACTGAGTGTTTCAGTATGGTTGTGCTTTATAGGTTGTGGGAGTGTCTGGTATGATTCCTCCCTCACACTCTCTCTCTCTCTCTCTCTCTCTCTCTCTCTCTCTCTCTCTCTCTCTCTCTCTCTCTCTCTCTCTCTCTCTCTCTCTCTCTCTCTCTCTCTCTCTCTCTCTCTCTCTCTCTCTCTCCCTCCCTCTCTCTCTCCCTCCCTCACTCACTCACTCTGTCCATCCTTCTCTTTTACTGCTTATGCAAATATCCCAGCGACTCAGGCAGGGAGCAAAGTGGTTCTATACAGCTATCAACATCAGTTTTTTTTAACTCCCAGTTAATAATAGCCTGTCTTTTTTTTCTAGCTTGCTTTAGTGGTTTGAAATCGTTCTTGCTTGCTTTCATTCTCGTTTGCTTACTTCCTATTTAACTGTCTTTTATTTTTCTTCTGCTTGCTTGCTTGCTTGAAGATTGCTCTTGTTTGCTTGATTTCTTTCTTACTCTTTCTTTAATCAATCCTACTTGCTTGCTTATTCCTTCCTTCCTTAATTGATTTTTAAATCATTATTGCTTTCGTTCCATTCGTTTGCTTCCTTCCTTCATTCCTTGCTTCTTTCTGTGAGGTCCAGTTTAATTTTTCTTTTCCTTCCTTTGTTTTTATTTGTTTCTTTTACTGATTTTAAACATTTCTTACTTTTTCTTTTGTTCCTTCATACCTTTTTTCTTTCTTACCTTCTTATTTGCTTGCTAGCTTTCCTTTGACACCTTCTATCTTTTTCCCTCACTGGTTTCTTCCACTTCATTTACAGTTATACTGCGTTCTAGAGGGACTCTAGGGCTTTCAGCTGGAGATCTATAAAGTGTGGGTTATTCTTCTACCCATTCTGCCTCCTCCCCTTGAACTCTCGAGCCATCAACTTATATCAGGGGTTGGTTTACAGGGACCAATATGTCAGAGTAGGACCTTCTCAGGGCCGGTCCATTGCAGTGAGTGTGCACTCCCATGGTATTTTCATCCGCTCTGAGTCAGTGACTCCAGTAGCTTGATGGACCCAGTTGTCCATGAAGATGAGTTGGTTGTCTCATACTTAAACACATTGCGGTTTTGTCTGGCTGGACTTGTTTAGTCACGGGAGGGAAATAGCAACATAACATCATCCAGCGGGGCTATAACTCAGATTGTAGCACCTGTTCCTCTCTCAGTCCTTACCAGCAATCAGTTTATGATGAAATGAAGATAAGCCCTCTGAGAAATGGATTTTAGTCATGTTGTTTTTTGAGGGAAGGATATACTGGATCTTTTTGAGGATAATGTTGAGGAAATTTATATAGCCTTGCATGGTTTTACTATGGAAGCTTGAAAAAGTGGTCTGAACCTGTTATAAGTTCTGTCATGGTTTTGTTACTTTATAGCTGGTAGTCATTAAAAATATTGTTCCCAAAACATTGTTTAAATGTTCAAATATTGACTTTACTATCCTTATAGGTTTCACAATTGAGGAATAGGAACAATAGGAAGGACATTTACACAAGAAAACCATGCTCGTTCTCCCAGAACAGAAAATAAAGCACATGGGTTAGACAAGTTCACAGGTCTTTTCTCATCCTAATGTTTTCTTTTTGTTGTAAAGGTAAAACAAAACGCACAATGTACAACGCAACCATTTGATGGATTTTAAGGGCACTCCTTGATGTCATTATAATTTCAACTCCTATTTACCCTCTGGAAAATATTAAGATATGAATGGTGGCTTGTCACACCCCCCCCCCTAATTTTCTCTAGATTTCATATTTTTGACATTAGCTCAAGACTAGTCTGGCGGCGTAATGATGTGGCTTTCGTACCATTTCTCTGCAAATGATGGCTTGAGATGGAGATGATGAGAAAGAAGTTTTGAGGACGTGGTAAATCCATATTAATGCCTTCTCGTGTTTAGTCTCTTTGAACCGCAGGCTCATTAATAAGCGATGCGAGTTAAAGGCCAGACAGGATATCTGATTTCCGCCGTTTGCTCGTGGTCAAACCCGCAAAAGAGGCCGATCCTCTCAAACCTTACTTTCTGTACTTTTTAGGTCTCATTTTTGGGACATTTTAATCTGTTGTTTGTTATTAATAGTGGTGATACCTACATTTCAAGCTAGACTATACACTCTTTTCCTTTTTAAGGAGAATTTATTCATTCATTTATTCCCCGAACAGCCATTTGAAACCCATCGTCATGAAGAACAGGAACGTAACACTTAACACCTGAAACTAGCTTTCTCTTTAAATTTAAGATGGAAAACGTTCCCAGTCTGTAGGGGCATGGAGCCTTTGTGTTTCATGTTTTCATTAATGAAAACGGTTTTGTTAATGGCTGCTGTGAGTGAAGAGATTTATACTCCTTTGAGTGGGAGAGCACTCTTTAATTTTTTTCTTGTAAAAGGGAATTTTGACCTGGTTTAACTAGCAGCAGTAAATCACTAGTTTAGTTTTTAACACAATTGTATTGAAATAATGTTTTCCGCATGTCGAAACATGTACGATTATCCTGTTCCGACTGGACTTTTCCTCTTCTTTTTTTTTTTAGGGTAATTGGAATAAAACCTTAAAGATCTTTTTCCCTTCTTGAAACCAATTTTGAGGTAGAATGGCTTTACCAGTCTCTAGTCAGACGTATTCTCTCCCCAGACTGAAAAGTATCAGTTGCACGTCTGCAAAGATTGTGTCTTCGTTAAGAGGCGAGCAAGCCCTTCACAATGAAAGAGTCTCCATTTTGAAGTCTCCAATATTTGCATGTGCTTGCTTATGATGCGAACTAATCATTTTTGAATCAGTTCATTTCGTTCAAACCCATTTGCATGGCATTTATAAATTGCTTCTGAGAAATTTGTTTAGGAGTCAAACTGTGAAGTGACTGATGTATTAGAAATACAACGTGATACAGCTATATGAAAATGAAGTTTACATGGAGGCTTTTGTGAATGTCTATGAATCGTGAGTTGACTCTATAAATTGTTTTATCATTGAAATCAACCATCTAAATGATTAGCTATATTCTTCAAGTGCTTGCATTGCGTAAAGCGGTGCCAATATAATCATATTGCGATCCTGCCAATCTTTTATAAGACATGGTTTTGCTCTGCACCTGATGCAAAGGTTTTTTAAGCTTAAAAAAGCAGGGAAAAGTGCATTAATCGTTGCACGCATTAATATTTAATGCAATGAGAATTTTTCTCTAATGTCTTTTAGTGTCACAGTCACGACCGCAATGACACAGCGATATTTCTTTCCAGACTCCAGCTGCGACCTTTCAGTCATTAAAAGAAAACCTCACCGCGGCAGTCCGTATATCCCGGGACGAGTCATTACAGGAACCGGGTCATAACGTGACGACATTCATTAGGGTCGAGCGAGACCACAGAAGAGATGGAATGTCTCGCTACCTCATAAAGATCGACCTCTGGGGTAACGAATGACAACGCTCGTTATCTCGCCGTCACACGGGGCCCGGCCTGCTTTAAGACGAGGAACGGCACCCCATCTGACTGCCATTAGCTCCCACTGACCTCCTCTGGTGCTCTGCGACATCTAATCCAGCCCCCCGTCTGGAGAAAAACGCTTTCTGGGCTCTGCTCCTCTCAGGCCGCAGAGTTTTTGGTGTTTGGTTAAACACCCAAGGTGCACCAAACTGCGATGGGCTGCTCGGATCCGCAAGCTTGTGTGTGGATTTGTCTGGACGGGTTCACGTCCTGGAAAAGAGCCCCTGTATCACTTTCAGACCAGCACAGGCCGCTTAATCTAAGCCAGACGTGATCTGGCTCACGAAACTGCTGAGGTCACCGCGGTGATGACTTCAGTTAATTTATTCAAAAGAGAAGGCGGGGTTTATATGAAGGGGGAAAAAAATAAAAGCAATTAGACCAGCCGAGGCCTTTGTACTAATGTCGAAATTGCTCTTATTGTGACTTTTCCGTTGTTAAAGCGCTCCTGCCCTGTTCTTTTTTTGTGACGTGTTTTCTCTCGGGTACATTTACTGTGCGTAAAGCATATAAACAGGCCGAAACTACAGAGACTCTTGAGTTTGTTTCTTCCATTGTAACATGAAGGCCGTAAGATCTAATTGAGAGCAGTCCGTACACGTGCATTTTATACACGTCCACCGACTCCGTTTCTGGACTAAGCTATGTTTGTCAAGACCTGCTGTTCTTTGCTTTTGACCAGATTTGTGGTTTTGTTTTGTGCTCGCATATTAGTAGATGCATTTCTGCATCAAGGCTAGTGTCAAGAGTAAAATCAATGTGAATTGGCTATCTAGCCCATCTTAATTCTGTGTTTTGACCCATTTCTGAGTGATAAAGGAACTGATTGGATGGTTGAAAGTGGCGTTGTGTTGCAGAATGCAGTCCAAAAGGAGCCCCAAAATCTTACTCGGTACAGTGCACTAATGAATTTTTAAATGTGTGTATGAGTGTTTGTACTTCATCAGTTGTTCCACATCTTTTTCTGTTTTTATTTTCGAGGGTGCTTGCTTTTATTGACGATTTAATATGCTTTTTTTACAACTCAAAATGAAGTGAGCAGCAAATGTGAAAAGTGCTGCGTTTTGGAGAGCTCTTTGGGCCTCGCTCTCTCTCTCATATTCCTTACGCAGGATGCTTGGGTTTGGGTATTATTCCATGATCATTTTCCAATTTTGATTTTTCCAGCGAGCTGTTAGCGGTGGATGTTAGCGGCATCCTAATGGCCTGCGCGCAGCTGCCACTCACCCACAGCTGCCACTCACCCACATTCACGCGCACAGGGATGCGGTGCGCTAACACGTCTGCACGCATTCCTGCTGCAGACGCATGGCCCTGTTTGGATGGACCTCATGGAAAGTGTGGAGGTGGCAGCGTTCCACTGCGGAGTTTGAGTTTACTGGGATTATAAATGATCCCATTAGAGGGAAATGCAAACCTGCATTTGTGGGGAGGAGACGCGGGCTGCTCCGTCTGCAAATGGCTTGTCGCTCAGTGGCCCGTGCCGAGCGGGTAAGCCGTGGAAC